ACAAAGCCAATTACTATAATGAAATGTGCAAAGACTTGGAGTTAGAAAACCAAAAGGGAAGAACACACTCAGCATTTCTCAAGCTGATAGAAGTGAGGAAAAAATTTAAGCTTCGAATTGCAATATTGAAAGATTCTATGGGCAAAATATTGAAATGATACAGGAAATATCAAAAGAATATGGAAGGAATACACAGAGTCACTGTACCAAAAAGAACTGGTCGATCTTCATCCATTTCAGGAAGTGGCATATGATCAAGAACCAATGGTGCTCAAAGAGGAAGTCAAAGCTGCATTGAAGGAATTGGCGAAGAACAAGGCTCTAGGAATTGACAGAATATTGAGATGTTTCAACAAATGGATGCCCCACTGGAGGCATTCACTCGGTTATGCCAAGAGATTTGGAAGACAGCTATCTCGCCAACTAACTGGAAGAGATCCATATTTGTATCCATTCCAAAAAAAAGGTGATCCCACAGAATGTGGAAATTATCAAACAATATCATTAATATTGCACACAATAAAATCGTACTGAAGATAATTCAGAAATGGTTGCAGCAGTATATTGACAGAGAACTTCCAGAGGTGCAAGCTGAATTCAGAAGAGGATGTGAAACAAGGGATAACATAGCTGCTGTCAGATGGATCCTGGCTCAAAACAAAGAATTCCAGAAAGATGTTTACTTGTGTTTTATTAACTATGCAAAGACATTTGATTGTGTAGATCACAACAAATTGTAGATGACATTGAGAAGAATGGAAATTTCAGAATACTTGATTGTTCTCATGAGGAACCTGTACATTGACCAGGAGGCAGTTGTTTGAACAGAACAAGGGGACACTGCATAGTTTAAAATCAAGAAGGAAGTGTGTCAGGGTTGTGTCATTTCCTCATATTTATTCAATATGTATGCTGAGGAAATAATCTGAGGAGTTGGCTATATGAAGAAGAACATGGCATCAAGATTGAGGAAGAATCTTTAACAACCTGTGAGATGCTGGCAACACAACTTTGCTTGCTGAAAGTGAGGATAACTGGAGGCACTTACTGATGGAGATTGAAGAATACAGTCTGCAGAATGGATTACATCTCAATATAAAGAATACAAAAATCCTCACAGCTGGACCTATAAACAGCATCACAATAAATGGAGAAAAGATTGAAGTTGTCAAAGACTTCACATTGATTGGTTCTACAATTGATGCTAGAAGCAGCAGTCAGGACATTAGACAATGTATAGCACCAGGCAAGTTGGCTGCAAGGGACTTCTTTCATGTTTGTGTGGGGGGGGAGGATGTCTCCTTGAGAACTAAGGTGTGCCTGATACAAGCCATGATATTTTCACTCACCTCGTATGCATGTTAGAGCTGGAAAATGAATAAGGAAGACTGAAGAAAATTGATGCTTTTGAGTTGTGGTGCTGGTGAAGAATACCAAAAGTACCATGGACAGCTAAAAGAACTAACAGATCTGTCCTGGAGGAAGTGCAGCCGGAATGGTCCTTGGAAGCAAAAATGGCCAGACTTCGTCTCACCTACTTTGGTCATGTTGTCAGAAGGGACCATTCCCTGGGGAAGGATATCATGCTTGGTAAGGTGCTGGGTGAACAAAAGAGGGGAAGGCCCTCAACGAGATGGATTGAGACAGTGGCTGTGGAGATGGGCTCAAGTTTAGCAAGGATCATGGAGCTGGCGTGGGACTGGGCGGTGTTTCGTTCTGTTGTGCATAGGGTCACTACTAGGCGGACATGACTCGAATGCACCTGACAACAACAGCAACAATGTGCAAACTCTATGACTCAGCCAATCCAATATTAGCCATGTCCCTTGTTAACTCTCTAACAACAAATCACCACCTTGCTGCCCAGGCTAAACATGAGAGAAAAGAGACAGACAAAAGCATAATAACTTTGAGTTCTTAGATTCAATTATCTGTGAAGTTAGCTCAATCCCACGTCTTCCTATATTGTTTAATTATTTGATCCATTTATATAGTCCTCTTTTTCAGTCTTGTAGTTCAGGCTAAATTTTGTCACTAGTAACTGAAACAGTTTTAAATGGTAAAGTAATCAAGTTTAATCCCTTTTAGCTTTAGTTCCTTGGAAGTCTTATTTATATTAATTGTCACACCCTGGAAGAGGGTTTGAGATATTCAACAGAAATGGGTTTAGGCTTACAACTAAGGAATAACACATGAGATGGACCCAAAAAGATTAAAATAAAGTTCCTTTGAAAAAATAAAATAAAAAGGGAAATTAAGATAAAGTGAATGAAGATTGTAAATGCTGCAAAAACTTACTGAAACTATTTTTTTTCCAAAATTTCACATATACACAAGCATGTGATTTCTCTCTCTCTCTCTCTCTTCTCTGCTCTCTCTCTTCTCTGCTCTCTCTCTCTCTCGCTCTCTCTCTCTGTCTCTCTCTCTCACACACACACACACCATCCACACACACCCACACACACATAGCTTTGGAATACAGCTAAAATGAATTGGAGTTTAATAAATGAAAGTTATACTTGAATTTTATAAAAAGAATTTATTTAATTTTTTTTCACTGATACTAGATACAAATCCAAAAGTAATTATGATTATGTCTTATACTTAATGACTAAGTTCTTCTATTCTTATTCATTACAGTTTCTATGATTTTTATGTATCTTTATCCTTGTTGTTGTTGTTGTTATGTGCCGTCGAGTCGGCCCCGACTCATAGCGACCCCTCCTTGGGTTTCCGAGGCAGTATCACTACGGAAGTAGGATTGCCCAACCTTCCTTCCGAGGAGTGGCTGGTGGGTTTGAACCGCCAGCCTTCTGGTTAGCAGTCAAGTGCTTTAGCCACTATGCTACCAGAGCTAGACATAAATAAAATGCAGCCATTCAGTTACAGATACTTCTCTTTTTCCTGTGTTTTCTCATTTATCAATTTCACTATTCAATGATGAGATAAAAATTACTAACATAAGGTAAACACAGTTTTCTTCTCTTTTTTTTTTCCTTGTTTTTTTTATTTCCTTTCTTTTTGTCTCTGAGAAATATTTTCACATTTGATATATTTTTTTCTTTTGTTCACTGACAAAAGAGAAAAAAAATATTCTTAGTGGATTGCCAAAGGGGCAGGGAGAGGACATCATCTGACCTCCTCTAACTCCACAAAAGGAAGACAGAATCACCATCAGCAGCCCAAAGCCTGTTCTTATGAGGCCAGACATGCTGCCACCCTCCAGCCCTCTTACTAACCTTGACACCAACCATTCCTCTCATGGCACCCACCATCTCTCTACTGGGTTCAATAATTTGCTGCAGTAGCCACACAGAACTCTCAGACTATGGGGTTTATTAGAGAAACAACAGGCTACAGTTCAAGTTCAGGAGCACAGTCAGTCTCTCTCAGGTGTCTTTCTCTTAACTAGCCATCTCTCAGCCAATAGTCTCTCTCAGTCTCTGTCTGCAGGACATCTCTCTCTCAGCAGTGCATGTCTCTCATCTCTCTCTGTCTCTTAGTGTGTCTCTCTCATGTCTCTCAGCATCACATTTCTCTCAGTAGCACATCTTTCTCAGGCCATAAATATGAAAGGTGTACCTTTCTACCTAACACTGATCATATTGCATGAAGAGGAACTAAGATGAGGGGAGTCCAAAAAAGTCAAGTCAATGAAGTCAGAAGTATAAAGGCCTAAGGAAGAAGCAATTAACCAAATATCACATCTGTTCAGGAATAATGCTAATCCAATCCAGTTCAATTTACCAAGCAAATAAAGACATTCTGAGAGAAAAGGCTTGAGATATTGCTTGTGATCTTCAGACAGTAAAAATGATGGAGGAGTGTCATTTAAAAATTCCAGATGAAAATAAGACAAAGGGGTAAAGAATTAGATTTCCTAGCATGTATTCTAGGCAAAACTCAGGAAATAGTAAGGAAAAACTCTCAATCCACCAGTGAGTTGAAGGGCAGGACAACACAGAGCAATGACCCACAGAGACAGAATTACCAGACACCCAACCTGTGTAACCAATAGTTGACACCTTCAAGCTTCTGAACCACCAAATGTTTCCTCAGCAGGCACATCCTCTAAGAAGTCATCTGCAGCCCACAGTATTTGCCTCAGTGTTGAGAGAATCAGAACATCCTTTATAAGGTTCAGCTCCCACTCTGAGGTGTAATTGCTAACCACCAAGATGTTAGAAAGGGGAAATCCAAGTTTTCTGTGGACTTCCTCTAGCTGTAACACAGAAATTAAAGCCAAAACATTTTAAATAATAAGAAATATTATCATATGCAAATATTAATTATGAAAACAATCACAAAATGTAGGACTTTTGCAATAATCTTCTGAAGGGAAGACAGGTAGAAAACTGGCCCCATAAAATTCTTTCTTGAAGAACTACACCACTCAAACTCTAATATCACTGCTAATTTTCATTTGGAATATGTGTAATAAACTCAACAAGAATTATAAACAAAAGGTAACTAATAGTTCCATATAAACTACCATGAAATGAAATCATTTTCAGGACACTTGAACTAGAATTCATATTTTCCCTCATTTATTTATTTGTTTGTTTGTTTTGAAGTTATTTATGGGATAAGTCAATTGTACTATATTAGTTTAAGTTGTTTCCTTTTTTTTTTTTTTTAACAACAACAACAACAAAAAGCTGTTGCAGTCAAGTTGATTTCAAGTTGATTTCATGAGAATCAGAATAGAAATGTACTCCCTAAAGTTTTCAACAGCTGTTTCTTGGAAGGTGATTGCCAGATCTTTCCTCTGATGCATCTCTGGTAGATCAAACCTCCAACATTTCAGTTAGCAATCAAGCATGTAAACAGTTTACACCTCCCAGCAACTCCCTCCTCACTTAAATGAATTTATCTCTGGATCCAGAGTGTTGGGTTCAATACACTGGCCATGTCACTTTTTAGCTGTGTAAACGCTGGCAAAGTACTGTGTATTTTTGTTTTCTTTATTGTTATCTGTAATATGTACTAATGCCAGTACCCATCTCATAGAGTTGTTATGATGATTGAATATGATACTCTATTACATAGTTAATGTGTAAGAAATATTAGTTGTCATTACATTCTCCCAAGTGATACCCCCCTTTGATTTCCTTTCAATACCAATCTGTCTGCAGACAGGTGGCAGATTAATCTTTGTGAAACTTAGCTTTGATCACACCTCTTCTCTTCCAGAAAAGTTCCTATGATTCCCATAATTCACCTAATTCAGGAAAATCTCCTCATACACATGTTCCTTTCTCACTTTGTGTTCCCTTACAAGGACTCAGATCTCCATTAAGCTGAACAACTCTCTGCTTCCATAACATGCTGCCTTTTCCTGCATTGGTAGATTGGCTTATGATGTCTTCAGGGCCTTTTTCTTATTTTATTCTCTTCACTTCCTAAAAATCTTCTCCTTAAAAGCTGCTTCCCACCCCAATAATAAAATCTTCTCCCATCCCCTTTACCACAATGTTTTCCACCTCTGAACTTTTAAAGCACTTTATTTTGGGCCATTTCATGATATTTATCATACGCAATCATATATTTATTTGTCAACTTTTTCTTATTCCACTCCTCCATCAGCTCACCCTCACCTACAAAATTGAAAGCTTTTTCAGTGATGGGGATTTGTTTTAATTATCTTTGTATCTGATTAGGGAGTAACACACGAGTGAAGATAACTGATAAATATGTTTTGAATTGAACTAAGTTGATTAAATTTTAATGAATGGAGTTACCCGTGTCCATATAAAATAAATACATATTCATTTTTAAAATTTGAGAATGAGCCTGAATTACCAAGGTAATTGAGTTAATTCTTAAACTTTACAGGTGTCTTGTTTTATATTAATTCACAATAATATAATACAGTCATGGTGATGTATCCCAGAAATATTTTTACGTAGAGCATAATTCATTACCTTGAGCTTCACAGGCATACATCCATATGGGTTTATAAGGTCAGCTTTCATAATCAGATGCAGATCATCCACATGAGTGAGCAAAGCCATATGTACCACACCTTTGCCAAAAGGATACATATGGTTTTTGGCATTAGACAGCATCAGTATTCTTCAGTTAATAAACTACCAAGTATGGGATTGAATAATTCAGGGAACATTTTGATAAGATAACCATGAGTCATAGTTAACTCAATGGCCACTAACAACAATGCAATAGGCTATCTATGGAGTAATTTCAAAGGTTTGGCAAAATGTCTTCTACCTCAACAAATGAAAAGAACCCTGAACTATTAAATTAGTACTTGGGATTCCTCTGAGATGAGAAGTCCCTTCATGGTCTTCCCTTTGAGAAATAAGGCTTTAACTAAAGCACCTCTTGGAAGAGGTAACTAAAATTTATGCTACACTGTTGCAGTCCAGAAATCACATGGTGTATTGCATTGAGCAAATATGCAGCAAAAGATCTCTTAAAATTGTTGAAAAGCAAAGATGTCATTCTGAGGACTAAGGTGAACCTGACCCAAGCCATGGAATTTTCAATCCCTTCATATGGATGGGAAAGCTAGACAGTGAATAAGGAAGACTGAAGAAGAATTGATGCATTTGAATCATGGTGTTGGTGAACAGTGAATGTACCATGGACTTTCAGCAAAACAAATAAATCTGTCTTGGAAGAAGTACAGCCAGAATGCTTTCTAGAAGCAAGGATGGTGAGACTTCATCTCACATACTTGGGACATATTATCAGGATGGACCAGTCCCTGGAGAAGGACATCTTACTTGGTAAAGTAGAGTGTCACAGAAAAAAAGACACTCAAGTAGACAGATTAACACAGTAGCTGCAACAATGGGCTCTAGCACAGCAATGCCTGAGAGGACCAGGCAGTGTTTTGTTCTGTAGTACATACAGTCACTATGAGTCACAACTGACTCCATAGCACCTAACAACATAGCTGATTAGTTCACATCCCATCCAAACAGTTGTGCTTTGGTGGAGAGTGGATAAAAGGCCAAAGGGTTCTAATAAAATAAATAAATAAATAAGGAAAAAGAAGTCTCAAGAAGAACAGGACGTGTCAAAGCATAATGAACAACCTGCTACTATTCATCATGCAAAGAGCTCTGGTGTTGTAGTAGTGGTTGAGGCATTTGGCTGCTAACCACAAGGTTGGTGGTTTGAACCCAACACCCACTCCATGGAAGAAAGATAAGGCAACTTGCTTCTGTAAAGGTTTATAGCCTTAGAAATCCAGAAAGTGTCTCTATGAGGCAGAAATGATTCCATGACAGTGAGTTTTTTGGTTTTAATCATAGTGCTAGTAAGAGCCTCCCTGCACATCACCTTTGCAATACTTAAAATTCTGTGATCAGGTAAGTCAATTACTCCTAGATTCTAACTCTAATTAAGGTAGTGATAAACTTGTTCTTTCGGGGGGCTGAAAATAAAAGGCCAAGAAAAGCTAGAGTGGGATATCCTCACTCCAGGTCCCACTTATGCTCTCTAAAGCCTTTAGATTACCTCTCCCTACCCAGCATCTTGTTTTCCTTCTTCCTTTTCCTTAATGAAATGTTCTTTTCCACTTTTTAATCCTTTAAGCTCCAAGGGAAATTCTAAGACTCTTGATCAATAAACCATTGCTATGATAGAGGGATAGAAGGGTAGCAGGTACCTAGGACAGACTGGACTGTACTAAACTTTTCACATATACTGATTTGTTTAATCAGTACAATAACTCACCAGGACCGATGCTATTATTACACTAATTATTCAGACTAGGAATTAAAGTACTGAGAGTTCAAGTCACTTGCACAGGTCATACAACTAATGAGTGCTCAAATTGATTAGACTATTCTGCTGACCTAGGAAAGATTCAGTACAGCAATTTTGTAAGTCCCTTATGTGTCCTAAAATCATTCTACAACATATGTTAATCAAGCTTTAGTAGCAAAGTGGAATGAGACTTACCACACTTTATCACATCTCTTTGAGCTCTTTTGATTTTTGCTACCATCTCATGAGACAGATTTTCAACAGAGTTGACATCCAATACAAATACGACACAATGAATTCTGTCCTTCAGCCATGGGGAGTCAATGTAATTAAGATGGCTTGATGTGATTGGTTTTATGGAATTAAACTGTAAGGTAAACATAAAACAGCAAATACTTATCTCAACGAACACTTAGGAGCACATACTCTTTACTGGTCAATCTGTAAGTGAACAAAATAGTGAAAAAACAGACAGGTCTCTAATCTTATAGTCATTAGAAATGCATATGTCAGATAAAGGTTTAATATCACTAATGTCACTACTCAAATCCATAACCAAAAATATAAATTTGAAAATTTGGTAAAGGACATGATCAGAAGATACCAATGAACAATAAATATGAAAAAGGGTACTCAATTTCACTAACAACCAAAGAAATGTAAATTATCATAGCAATATTGCTTTTCATCAATTCTATTAACATACATACTATATGTTTTACCCATAAATGGAGAAGTAGGATAAAAGGGGCACTCTTATTTACTCTTTCACTTTGTGTAGAATTCCAAATAGGCGTAAGATCTTTAAACCTATTGTTCTCTACTTTTCCCCAACATTTAAAGTGCACATACTATTTGGCCCAGAAATTTATTCTTCAGAAATACTCCCACAAGCATACAAATGTATTTTCACAGAAATGTTTATTGCAGCATTATTTTGAAGACTGAAAACAACTGAGTTGTTTATGAATAATACTCAGTTCATTTAAAAACTGAGTCTGTACTTTATGTACTGGTGTGGAACAATATTTACAACACATAGTAAAAAGAAGCTGTAAAAATTTGATTAAAATATGTACTGTTTTATTGCATGTAGTTAAGAGTAGTTCCCTCTGAATTATGGAATTTAACATAGTAAGGAAGAGCATTTTATTTAGCCTACACTCTTGTATATAAGTATTTTTTAGAAAATATATAATATTCATTTTAAACAAATTTTTATTATGATTTGGGTGGAAATTTACAAAGTGGATTAGTTTTACACTCAATATTTCATACACATTTTGTTTCATGGCACAACTACAATGCCTGCAATAAACAGCTTTCCTCTTGTCTCCTTCCTGTGACTACCCTTGCTGGTATCTTTCTTATCTATGCATTTCTGTCTGTCTAACTTTCCCCCTGTGCAAATGCTGACCTTCCAATCTCTCACGGTTGACTGACTATTCTAATGGGTGCATCTCCCTGAGGTAGGTGTTCTGTTAGTAGACCTTTCTATTGTTTGGCTGAGAGCTAATCCGTGGATGGAAGTGAGTCCAATATCATGCCTAAAGAATAACCCGGGGCCATAGTCTTGAGGTGAAACCTTCATTATCAGACCAATAATTCTCTTCATTTTTGTATTTTGTTCAACATTTTTCCTCCTACTTTATCCAGGAATTCCAATTTTGAACCCTTTCCCAGTAGCTGGCATTGGCAGCCAGGCACCATCTGTTCTTCTGGTCTCAAGGTCATGAAGGCTGAGGTTCCTGTGGTCCATTAGTCCCTTGGATTAATTGTTTCCATATGTCTTTGACTGTCTTCATTCTTCTTTGCTACAGACTGGGACAGACCAATAGTTGCATCTTAGATGTCCACTCAAAAGCTTTTAAGACCTTGATCACTACTCTCCAAAGCATGATACAGAGCAATATTTCTATGTATTATATTGTGTCAGTTGAGCTTGATGCTCCCCAAGACCACTCCCTCAAGGTACTTGGTTGTGATTAAGATGCTACCCCAACCATGAGCCCTGTTAGTTCTATAAGGTAGATGGATATTTTTTAGCAGAAATATGTAGGAATGTCATCAACCAAATCTGTGGTCATGGTTATATATATTCTTGTTTACCTACTCACTTCTCACCTGTCTGCCTATGCATTAATCCATATACTAGTGTTTGTTGTTACTGATAATGTAATATAGTACTCTTTTTAACATACATACTGGAGTGTAGGATAATAGAAGAAAACAAGAGTGGATACAGAGAGCCCAGTAAAAAGTCAACATTAAGAGACTTTGTGGATTGGCACATCTCAGTTTGATGCATCAAGTATCACTTTTTCCAAAAGCTGCCCCTAATCATACTTCTGCTATTCCACAGTTTCTCTTAGGTGATCCTCTTCTCCTATAGGATCCTGAACACATTATACTTAGCTTCCAAAAAACCAAACTCACTGCCATTGAGTAGATTCCAACATATAGTGACCCCCTTTGGGTTTCTGAGGCAATAAACCTTTATGGAAGCAAATTACCCCATCTTCTTTATGTGAAGCAGCTGGTGGATTTGAACCACCAACCTTCTGGTTAGCAGTCAAGTGCCTTAGGAGTATAAGGAATAATACCACCAGAGCATCTTAAATTTACTGTGGTGAATTGCAACTATTTATTTAGATGACAGATTTAAACCCTACACCCCTTCTCCCCCTCCCCCTACACTCACATTTACCATATTAATTGTGAACTACACAAGAACCAAAAGTTGTCATTGAGTCATTTCCTAATCATAGCAACCTCATATGTGTCAGAGGAAATTTTACTCCATAGGATTTTCAATTGCCAGTTTTTCAGAAGTAGACCACCAGATCTTTCTTCTGAAGTACCTCTGAATAGAGTCAACCCTCCAATCTCTTGGAGAGCATTAACTATTTGCACCACCTAGGCACTGCTATATAAACTTCAGATTGCACGAGAACAGGAATAATGATTTACTTAATTGTGTCTCTGCAATGGCTTTCAAAGAGTCAAGCTATTAGCAAACAATTGCTGAATATGTGAAAATAACTAAATAACTGACTCAGTATCTGCTTCAATAAAAGAGTATAAAATTACTTTTAGGCTACCTCTCCCTACCAAAAGTCTTATTTCCCTGCTTCCTTTTCCCTAGTGAAGTGTTATTTTCCACTTTTTTAATCCTTTCATGTCCAAGGGAAATTCTGAGATTTTTAATCAATAAATACATGCTATGATGGAAGAGCTCTGGTTGCATAGTGCCTAAGGCACTTGACTGCTAACCAGAAGGCTGGCGGTTCAAACCCACCAGCCACTCCTCAGAAGGAAGGTTGGGCAATCTACTTCTGTAGTGATACTGCCTCGGAAACCCAAGGAGGGGTCGCTATGAGTTGGGTCCGACTCGACGGCACATAACAACAACATGATAGAAGAGTAGCAGGCACAGATTAGGAAGCAGAGGACGTAATATTTCCTTTTATTTTTATTTTTTCCAAATTGATATGTGTATATAATACCCAATGCCCAAATATATTATAATAATATATGATTGACTATTCAAGTGCTTTCCTCCTGTTTGCAAAAATACAAGTGACTAACCCATGACTTCTTTATTAATTCATTCCTAAGGAAAGGAAGATTGCTGATGGACTTTTGTCCTTGTTACAATGCCTAAAACACTACAGGTGCTCAAAAAATACTTGTTGAATTAAAATTTTATGGAATTAAGATTATCATTGATTCAATAAGGATTCTATAAGTATGGCCTTATCATAATCTCACAAATGAAACCCTTTATCAGACTAAATAATTAACAATTCAGATTAAGCAGACAATATAAAATATATTAGCATAAACGTCTCGTTAGTAATAAACAGTCTTTTATAATTAAAGCAGTGTGTGAATTTTTTCACTGTGGGGTGATCCTAACTCCCTTGGACACTGGCAACTTATGCTTTAAAAGTCCAATTGAAGATGGAAGAGGCTCCAAAGTAACCCTTATGCTTTTTCCAGCTAGATATCATGGGACTGTGTTTACAAAGACTTTATGAAATTGGTGTGAACTTTCATTTGTTACTTATTGCTATTCACCTGTATACATTGCAAATGGGCAATTAACTTTTCTTTCATGAGCAATATATTTGCGCATAGAGCTAAAAATCTCCTATGAGAACTCTTTTTGAACCACCCAAGACTGAGTAAGTGTGCAAATGGTTTGCCCTCAGCTGATAACTAAAAATTGGCAGTTCAAACCCATACAGCAGCACTACAGAAGAAAAGGCGTGGCTATCTGTTTCTGTAATGATTACAGCCAAAAAAATTTTATTGAACAGTTTTATTATGTAACACATGTGGTTGTCATGATTTGAAATCAACTCAACAGCACAAGACAAATTATTCTGTTGTAGCATGTGTCTTACTCTAGAAGTATTTATTACTTATAAAAGACTGTAAACTCCATTAAAATAAAAATCCATTGCCATCCAGTCAATTCCAACTCATAGTGACCCCTATTGGGTATCTAAGGCTGTAAATCTTTATGGAAGTAGATTGCCTCATCTTCCTCCTCTGGAGCAGCTTGTGGGTTTGAACTGCTGACTTTCTAGTTAGCAGCCAAATACCTTCCCCACTTTGCCTCCAGAGTGCCTTGTATACTCACTCCTTAATGGCAAAAAAATTCCATCTGAATGCCACCGTAACTTCAGAGCCTGACAAGTTGTTGTTGCTGTTGTTGCTGATAGGTGCTGTCAAGTTGGCTCCAACTCACAGTGACCCTGTGTAAAACAGAACAAAACACTGCCTGGTCCTGTGCCAGCCCAACAATCCTTGCTATACCTGAGCCCATGTTGCAGCCACTGTGCCCATCCTTCCCCCTTTTCGCTGACCCTCCACTTCTCACTATCAATGAGCATTCCAGCTGCACTACATCCAAGACAGATATGTTAGTTCTTCTGTTAGTCCATGGCACTTTCAGTATTTTTTGCCAACACCACAACTCAAAAGCATCAACTCCTCTTCAGTCTTCCTTATTCATTGCCCAGCTTTCTCATGAATATGAGGCTATTGAAAATATCATGGTTGGGGTAAGGCACACTGTGGTAGTTATGTTTGTGTATCAACTTGGCAGGGCCTGGTTGAATGGCTGGGCATCTGGTGGTAGTTATTCCCCATGATGAGACTGGCAATCAACTCCGTGGTGGGATCTACCACAAGCAGCTGAGTAGCTGCCTTTGGGATGTGGTCTGCTTCCTGTATATAAGGAGAAGCTTTGAGAATGGTCTCTAGCTTATGGCATGCTTGGACCCTGTATGTAGCCATGTCATTGCTCAGTAGCCTGCTATGATCTGCTGACCCTAGGACTTACAATGGACTTAAGTTAATGGGCTGTGTGTGGTTTGGTAACATTGGGACTGTGCCTTTTACTTGTCAACCTTGAGGCTTCACAGGCTCAGCAGCCAGCAGCTGTCTGAGTGAAGAAACACCACTAGCTCTGGTGGGCCAGGAGCAGGAGGCAGAGCTAGACCCCAAGGTTGAGGGGCTTTCACTCAGCCCCTATAGCCTGGCACTTTGAACTTGGATGTAAAGCCTCCAAATTGCAAGAATAAACTCCTGTTTGTTAAGGCCATACCATTGGTGGTTTATGGGTAACCAATATACTTGTCAGAGTGGCACTAGGTAACCAAAACACACACCTTAGTCTTCAAAGACACATCTTTGCACTTCAGCATTTTAAAGAGGTCTTTTGCAGCAGATTTGCCCAGTGAAATATGTCATCTGATTTCTTGCTGCTGTTCCCATTAGTCTTGTTTGCATATTGCAGATTGTTACTGAGTCTTCCTTCAATCCTGATGCCACACTCTTCTTCATATAGTCCAGCTTCTCAGATTACTTGTTCAGCATACAGATTGAAAAAATATGGTGAAAAGATACTACTCTGACTCACTTCCTTCTTGACTTTAAACCACTCAGAATTCCCTTGTTCTTTTCAAATGACGGCCTCCTGGTCTATGCATCATGAGCACAATCAAGTGTTCTGGAATTCCCATTCTTCTCAATGTTATCCATAATTTGTTATGATCCACACAGTCAAATGTTTTTCCATAAACATTTTCCATCAATAAAACACAAGTAAACATCTTTTTGATATTCTTTGCTTTTAGTCGAAATCCGTCTGATATCAGCAATGATATCTCTCTTTCTACCTCTTCTGAATCCAGCTTGTATTTCTGGAAGTTCTCTATCAATATACTGCTGCAACCATTTTTTTTTTTTTTTTTAATTATCATCAGCAAGATTTTATTTATGTGTGATATTAATGATATTGTTTGATAATTTCTGCATTCTTTGGGATCACCTTTCTTTGGAATTGGTACAAATATGGGTCTCTTTCAGGAAGTTGGCTAGGTAACTGTCTTCCACATTTCTTGGCATAGACAAATGAGTGCCTCCAAAGTGGCATCCATTTGTTAAGACCTCTCAATGGGTATTCCATCAATTCCTGGAGCCTTGTTCTTTGCCGATGCCTTCAGTGTAGCTTTGACTTCTTCCTTCAATATCATTGGTCCTTGATCATACACCACCTCCTGAAATGGGTGAACATCAACAAATTCTTTTGTGTACAGTGACTCAGTGTATTCCTTCCATCTTCTTTTGATGTTTCCTGCATCATTCAATATTTCCTACAGAATCTTTCAATATTACAACTTGAGGCTTGATTTTTTTCCTCAGTTCTTTCAGCTTGAGAAATGTCCAGCATGTTCTTCCCTTTTGGTTTTCTAACTCCAGGTCTGCACATTTCATTATAAAAATTGACTTTGTTTTCTCAAGCTGCTATTTGAAATCTTCTGTTCAGCTCTTTTATCTTGTCATTTCTTCCCTTGCTTTAGATACTCTCTGTTCAAGAGCAAGTTTCAGAGTCTCTTGTGTCATCCATTTTGGTATTTTCTTCTTTTCTCATCTTTTTAGTGACATCTTGCTTTCTTCATGGATGATGTTCTTAATGTCATCCCACAATTCATCTGGGTTTCAGTCATTAGGGTTCAATGCATCAAATCTATTCTTTAAATGGTCACTAAATTCAAGAGGGATATAATCAATGTCATATTTTGGCTCTCATGGACTTGTTTTAATTGTCCTAAGCTTCAACTTGAACTTGAATGTGAGCAGTTGACGGTATGTTCCGTAGTCAGCTTCTGGCCTTCTTTTGGCTGAAGATATTGAGCTTTTCCATCTCCTCTTGCCACAGATGTAGTCTATTTGATTCCTGTGTACTCTATCTGGTGAAATCCATGTGTACAGCCATTGTTTATGTTGTTGAAGAAAGGTATTTGCAATCAATAAATCATTGTTCTTGTGAAATTCTATCATGTGATCTCCAGCATCATTTCTATCACCAAGGCCATATTTTCCAACTACCAGTGATTCTTCTTTGTTTCCAACTTTTGCATTCCAATTGCCTCTGATAATCAACACACCTTGATTCCATGTTTGGTCAATTTCAGACTGCAGAAGTTGGTAAAGATCTTCAAATTCCTCATCTTTGGCTTTGGTGGTTGGTGTGTAAATTTGAATAATAATAGTATTAACTGGTCTTCCTTTTAGGCATATGGGTATTATCCTATCACTGACAGCATTATACTTAGGGATAGATCTTGAAACATTCTTTGTGATGATGAATGCCATGCCTCTCCTCTTTAATTTGTCATTCCTGGTATAGTAGATCACATGGTTGTCTTATTCAAAATGGCCAAAACCAGTCCATTTTACCTCACTTATGACTAGGATATTGATCTTTAAGAGTTCCATTTCATTTTTGATAACTTCCCATTTTCCTAGATTCATACTTTGTACATTCCATGCTCTGATTATTAATGGATATTTGCAGCTGTTTCTTCTCATGTTTAGTCATGCCACATCAGCAAATGGAGGTCTTGAAAGCTTTACTCCATCCACACCATTAAGGTCAACTCTACTCCGAGGAGGCAGCTTTTCCCCAGTCATATTATGAGTGCCTTCTGATCTGAAGGGCTCATTTTCTGGCTCTATGTCAGACAAAGTTTCAGGACTATTCATAAAGTTTTCCAGTAATAGACAGTTTTCACTGTTCTTCATAAGGTTTCCACTGGCCAATTCTTTGAGAAGTGGATGGTCCCTGCTTTCTTCCAAGTCTGTCTTAGTCTGGAAGCTCTCTTGAAACCTGTCCACCATGGGTGACCCTGCTGGTATGTGAAACACTGGTGGCATAGCCTCCAGTCTCACAGCAACACACAAGACACTACAACAAACTGATTGAAGAGTAGTGGCAACAAGTAGTAAGTGCTAATTTAAATTAGCACTTAAATTTGCACTTGAGAAATATTAACTGCTAATTTATAAACTTTATATATTTATTATTCAGAAATACCCTGCAGATTTTATGGAAGACATTTCTTAGATGCAGTGATAGTTACAATGTATGTTAACTTCTCTTGGCCCAGTTTTGACTGGCTGGGCAGCTGAATGTAGTCATTCCCCATAATAAGATTGGTAATCAACTCCATGGAGTAATCTACTGGCAAGCTGAGTAGCTACCTTAGGGATGTAGTCGGCTTCCAGTATATGAGATGACAGCTTTGAGAAAGGTGTCTGAGCTTCTTGGTGCACTTAGAGTCTTCATTCAGCAGCCTGCTATGTTGTCTGCCAATCTTGAGACTGTTAACAGATTTGAGCTAGTCACCTGCCATGTTGTTCAATAATTTTGATACTGTGCCATTTTACTTGTCAACCTTGTGTTTGTCACACTCAGCAGCCAGCAGCTGGCTGAGTTAAAGAGAAGCCTCCAACTTCAGTGGGCTGGGAGCAAGAGGCAGAGCTGAAGTCTAAGGTCAAGGGGCTTTCACCCAGCCCCAAGAGCAGACACCTTGAACTCAGACTTCCAGCCTCCTAAACTGTAAGAGAATAAATCCCTGTTTGTTAATGCCATCCATTTGTGGTATTTTCTGTGAGAACAGCAATAGAGTACCAAAATGGATGCCTACTCACCATCTCATCAGTAAACACCAAATTATGTTTGGGAACAAAATGTACCCAATAAAAAATTTTTAAATTCCCTTGCAGTTGGGGTAGCCATGTGAACCAGTCTGGACCACTGACAAATACTCAATGTGGTTTCTTAGAATCTTAGAAAGCCAGTTTTTCCCTGAATAATAATTTAAATAAGTAAAAAGACTAAAGTAGCTCTTTGCTCTTTGTCTTCCTGGAACACTGGCTGTGTTCAACATGAACATCTTGAAAGTATAAGAATAAAGGTCTCATCTCAGAAGGGAAAGTCAGGAGGAACCCTGAAATTAAATGACCTCAGAGAGCTTCCACACAAGCCCCAGGCTGCCTGCTTTTGAACATCCTGTTACATGAGAAAAATCACCTATGTGGTTAACTTGATGTGATTGGATTTCTGTTTCACATAGTCAAAAACAAATGACATGGTATACACTGTGCAGCATTCATAGCTATTATGACAGCTCTGAGGAGTCTATGGGTGATGCAAACAGTAAAGTGGGCAATTCCTGGCTGAAAGATCAATAGTTTGAGCCCAGCAATGCCTCAAAAGACAGGACTAAAGATCTAATTCCCAAAGGTCACAGCCTTGAAAACCGTATGAAGCAGTGCCACTCTGTACACATGAGGTCACCAGGAGTCAGAATCCACTTAATAGCAACTAACAATGACCACAGTATGACAAACTGACAGATGAGTGATGGAACAATGGCAATAGATGCCTTCAGATATTTTGATTCCTGATAAAGTCTTCATAAAATAAACTATTAGATATCAAAAAAGGACCTTGTACAAGTATAGTCATAGAAAGTAAATGCTAAGGTATCTCAGAAGGAAGGTTGGGCAATCCTACTTCCGTAGTGATACTGCCTCGGAAATCCAAGGAGGGGTCGCTATGAGTCGGGTTTGACTCGACAGCACATAACAACAACAACAACAACAACAAGGTATCTTAGCTATAGTAGAACCTGATGTTGTGGGTAACAAGGGGGGAAAAAAGCATTTTAAAAAATCAGTTGTACTTTCTTAATGATAAGCCAAATCATACCTGGTATCTGTCAGGAACGTGACCTTTTAAGATGTAGAATATGTCATCGGTGCACAACCCCTCCTTTTTCTCACCCAGCCCCATGGAATCACACAGAACAAATTGTAAGGAGTTTCCAGTTTCTCCATCCTTAATGGAGTATGTCCTGAACTGCAGATGGAAAAAAGGCAATTGTAAGAGTTCATTTTATATTCACGGCAAGATGGCAGACTAGGCAGAAAGACTGCACAGACCCTCTTCAACAAAGAAAAGGGAAACCAATTAACACAGAAACAGAAGACAATCCTGGACCCCTAAGCCTTGAAGGGAAGGATACAGAAATGGACTAAACCCCAACAAGCACAAGAATTTGTGTGAAAATACCAAAAAAGGAGACAGACAGAGCTGCGGTCTGGCAGCGATCCTAAGCAATCCTGATGGCACAGAGAGCTTGGAGATTCCTGAGTAGTGGTAGGACCTAAGAATTAACCTAAAAATAAGCGCTGCTAGCCAGGGACTGCACAGGGACTACTCTGCTGGCTGGGGAATAAACAGAGAAGGTGAAGAGAAAGGCAGGCTGAGCTGTGGACTTTTGCCGGTTTGGAGGATGCTGTCATTTTGAAGCTTTAAAAGCAGCTTGACTATTTTGGATATTAAAGAGATAGCACTCCAGCAGATTCCTGGGGCTTAAGAACACGTTCTGCTTTCCAGCAACCCCAAGGACACTCCAGACCCACGAGACTGAAAAGGTAAGACATTACTATTGTTACTCTTATACCACACACCTGCTTGGCGAACGGAGGTGCGGCCATCCCCCACTCGCATGTACCTTCTGGGCCCCACAGGAACTCCATCACGGTCTGTGTGCTCAGACGGAGCCTAGGTGCCCTGCCCTGTCCTCCACCTATTCTATTTTTTTTTTCTCTCTTTTTATTTTTATTTTTTTCATTTTTGCTTTCTTTTTTTCTGGTGATTA